CTTTTTAAAGACAAGTGCATTATATATACACTGCACAGTTATTATTAGATCAATATCATACAATAAATTATATATAAACAAATTGTATTACCTATAGCCAAATTATGTATATTTGGTTTTACATGAAATACTGCATATTAATGAAAATACTATATATATATTACAAAAATAAAAACAATTATTAATTTTTCATATTATTCCCGAAGGACTGGGTGTTTCTAAAATTAGAATTATGACGTGTCTCCAAACAATGCACCGTCCCACTTCCGAAGCTTTTTTGTGTGTTTTTTTTAGATTGCTTACATTTCAGTTTTGTAAAATAATAAAACAATTGTTGCCTTTGGTCAATACCTGGNATATTGATATACCTGGATTTATCAACCCGAGAAAAGATATATTGACCACGGACTGCGTCATCGGTAAATATATTTTTTCTCGGGTCGATAAATCCAGGTATCGACCTCAGCCAAAGGCTATAATTGAATAATATCTGTAGATTACGAAAACGAGAGCCATCAATCACCTGGTATTGATATCAAAATATCAGAATCCGTATAAATCGACATTCAGGACTGGTACATGTATGCTAAATCTAAAACTGTGTAAAAATAGAATGAAATAAAAATGTGTAAAAGTAACACGCATACACACAAAAAAAGCAAACCCATACACATTTGTTTCTGGTTGGTAATTATTGATTTTATAGAAATTTAACGAGCAAATGTTTATGTGTGACGTTTTTATGACTAGATCGATATGTTCTCTGTCTTCTTCATCAGAAAAAATCATCAAACGTTTTTCCGATTGTTTGATGAAGGCGATAGCTACATTTGACTCTCGAGCGACCAACAGTTTTAATATATCACATTTTCAATATCTGATGAAACATACTACGACTTCATTAACCAGGTATACTTATATCACAATATTTATAAACAAGGACAAATATATCAAACTGTTTATATAAGAATAAAAAATATATCAAAATACAAGCCAAATATATACATAGATATACATCGATGTTGCTTTAACATGTCTTTCTTTTGTCAATCGTCTGGTTCCATATTTTTGTCTGCTAGTTACGTTTGCTTCATTTCCGTCAATATTGCCCGCAGAAGATTATATCAAATGTATTTTGCATTTAAAAAGAACCGAAATGAATTTTTGGTACACTGGCAAATCATATCTGAATATTTGTTTTTTACATGGAATATTTAACTTGTAATATAATATATATTTAAGATTTAACAAAAAAATCTTAAAACAAAAACAAATCAGTAGAAATGGAAAACATGAGAGCCATTGCTTACCTTGTATTAATATCAAGATCAGAAGGAAGATGTCAAATATGATGAAATGGATTAAATTATGATAGAGGGCAACTATCTTTACCTATGACGCTTGGTTATTTATAAATATATATAAATATATATTTACACGTCATCACGTGAAATGAACGTTTATGAAGGTTATTTGTTGGGAAGACTTGGTAGAAGATCATCAGAGTATGCTACTGACCAAGTGGGCGATTTGGCTATTTATAAAAAGTCTTTTTCTTTTAGATTTGATCACATTTTCCGTTGTGAACACGAAAGAAACCTAGTAGCCCTTTATCCTGTTATGCTACTGTTTCATATTTCGAGGCTTCTAGTTTAGTGGGAATAATGTATCTAAGAAGAAAACAATACGCATGACGGGCAAATAACGGACATAGCATCAAGGAATAAAGCTTACTGGGACTTTGGGCCTATTAAGTTTTATGTAAAATAGAAGGAAATAAAAACATGTAAAAGTAAAACGCATAAAAAACCTCAAGGAAAAACCCACAACAGATAAATCCTTAGTTACAAAATCTTCTGGTTAGTAGGTATGCGTTATATAGAAGTTCAATATGTACAGTCTGAAAAAAATAAATATTTGTTTATTGATGATGTTTTGATGATTTGCACGATAATACCGTCTGTCATTTCATCAGACAAATTCATTCATAGGCTTTACCGATATAAGACTAACAAATCTACGAAATCATCGACCTAAATTACAACATTACATAGCAATAACAAATAACATTATATTAAAGTAGAAATAATAAATGGGTTACTGATAATGATAAACTTATGTATGCAGTACGAGATATCATTTTAAAAACCTGTATTGAAGTTAAATCTTAAAATGTAGTTTTTGTATAAATATCTAGTCACTACAACTATACATAGTAAACAAGCTGAAATTAAACAAATGTGTGTGATAGATAAGTAACAGAAGAACGAGCAATTNATTATAAAGACATAGATTTCAAAATCCTTTGGAAGCTATATTTGTGATTTATTTACATGTGATGATTACGATCGTTAAATTTCCTTATTGGTGATATATTATTCTTGGTGGAAAAACCAAGCAGTAGGGCGAGGATCATAAGGATGTTTTAAAATAGACACAGCCATTCATTTGTTTTGTCCTTTGATTTATTTTCTAACATAAAACAATTGAGTATTATAAATGTTGTAATGAAAGGAAGATAAAGTCGTAAACACTTAAAATGTTATGAAAAGAACTAACTCACCGACTGGAACTTTTTTTATCATTATCATCGCTAGTTTCTATTTTGTCGGTAAGTAGTTACATGAATACAATATTTAGAAATGCATGCGACCTGCACAAGAGATGATATTGTCAGGACGATATGCTGTACGAACGAATACATTTTAATCGGGCTAATGTCACCCTTTACTATTTGCATGCGCTTAATAGTGTCGACCAATCTGAGATACCACATATGTATGGTATTGTTTTATATTTACCGACAATTGTTTTTGATATGCAAATTACTTTTTTTCTAACCAATATACAAAAAGACATACAGAGCAAACTAATGACGTCGCGTTAATAAAGCAAAAGTTGTTATGAAGTGTTTCAATTCTATTCCTGTTTTCTTTCAAAATAGGTCCTGCTACTGGGTAGTACAGTATCTTTGATTTCCACATTGCATGTGAAATAAAGTAAAGGGATTGGGATATATAATGTCAAAAGAATCAAATGAACATTATATGTAGATTAGGACTATAATTAAGATTCCGCATCAGCATTAACTGACCTGACAGCTCGGATTCAGAGAACATATTATGTGAGTGAAACTCTGAGATACTGAGGAAGACCGAATGCATATGTATTGTAAAACGGAGCTTAAATTAATACTATTGTATAGCGCTATGTATTCGTCTAGTCATATGTTTCCGCGCGTTATATAAACAACTACAAATTTACTTTTCATTGCTTTGTCTTTTGGAACATTATCACTTCTAGATATTTCTTGGTCTGTAAGTAGTTACATGAATACTATAAACATAAAAGAATGAGACCTTGACAGCAATGATCTTGTCAAGGAGATATGCCCTTTCTACCTTATTACCAATAAGTAGGGCGAGAATATTTTTTTTTTTTTTTAGAAAGAGAAACAAATATTTGTGTTCTTAGTTCTTTGATTTATTTTNTCAAGATATGGTAGAATCAAACATTCTTCATAGATGGAAGGGTCTGAAGGTTTATGCCTTAGGGTCTCACGTTTACCCCCTGGGGAAGGGGGGAGGGGGCCAAATTTATTATGGTTTATAATGGCAAATTACACTTTGAATATCACATGTTAATAACTTGATTGGAATTATAACCCTGAGTTGACAGTTTGATACTTTGAAATTTTGAGCCAGCCCTACCCCCAAGGGCTGTAGGGTGGGGCCCAAAGGAGTCAGTGTGCTAAAATTTCTTCATTTTCCTTGTTTAGAATCAGAGGTGCTAGTTTCAAATACTTTTTAGTCTTAAATCTGTATGCTAGATATTGAATAAGGTGGTTTGATTGTTTTTTGTCATTTTGAATAATATTTCTGTTCGTGTTAAAAACAAAATCAACTCTCTGTATCAATATATCAGGTGACCGTTAAGGCCATAGGCCTCTTGTTCTAAATGAGATCATATAGGGGTTTTACAAATATACAATTTTTTTAATTCCTTAATTTACTTGCATAGGATGGAGAGTGTCATAATCAATATTCACAATTTTACATTTTTATTCTAAATGAGATCATATAGGGTTTTTACAAAAAAAATTTTTTTTTTAAATCCTTAATTTACTTGCATAGGATGGAGAGTGTCAGAATCAATGTTCATGATTTATTTTATAAAACATGAAACAAATGTAAAATTATCAGGAAAAGAGAATTTGCTTGAGAAATTCGCAAAACTAAAAACTAAAAAAAAATAGTGCAAGGGGAAATATTTCATATGAAATACCAGTACAAAACGAACGATGTTGAAAAAGGTTACACGTGCTTAGAAATGAATTCAAATGTAAGACACGAATCCAATACAAACAAATGGAAAGATAAAAAAACAACCTTAATTTTACAGATTTGAAAAAAAACTCTTGAATAATACGCAAACAAATGAACAGGATAATAAACGAAAGAAATATCAATAGAAACTGCTTCATTATGTAATTCCATCAATGCAGAACCTTCAAGAATAGAAGTTACTTATGTGTGTCTAAATTGATATAAACTTTATGGAAATTGACATTTTGAAAGTGTACATACTTGGTTTTTATTTTTGATGTCCATTAATTCCCGTTGTTTTCACGAAATGGGTATACAAGATAATGTTGGAACATTAAAATGCATTGTTTGGATTATAAGACAAGACGGGAAAAAAAAAACACTATTTAAATAAATAGACAGGCATTTCAGGGAAGAAACTATTCACGTGACCTTGATTTGACTGAACAAATCAGTAAAATTTTAATAAAGATAGACTAATGGATAAAAAAAGAAAGAAAACACAAACAAAACGGCGACGAAAGAATCATCTGCTGCAAATGAGTAAGTCGTATTACGGGCCTGCAGCTCGAAAGTAAAAAAATGTGTCGGCATCAACAAAAAAGTACCTCGCATACGGACATGCTTCGATTGTTATTTGTTATATCTCCATGCGTGTTTCAGGGGATATTCATATCAGTCCATGTCTTGCTTTGTTGGTATATTCATTTCAATTTCCTTTTCATCGCGCAACATCTCGAAACATCTGTCAGCTCTAACCGCGAAGCTGAACTTTTGTTCAAAACGCATTTGTCCAGCTCGTAGTTCAATGGTTGACGATTGTATAGACACTAGTTGAACTGTTTCTTTTTCCATGTCTCCTAAATCGGGGGAGAAAACGACGGATCCACTGTCGCCCTGTACAGCGAATGCTGTCCGATTAGCTCCTTCGATAAGAAAGCCCTTTTGAGGTTCGCCTTGACGTCCAGTATTTTCAGAGTTGTTGACTTGGAAATCTGGGCTCAGTATATAACCCTTTGTTAATCCACTTATACTACCTCTTTTGTAGACAATATCATGCATTTTCATTTCGTGTTTCAACGGAACGCAGTTGCAACGTTTATCGTTTTCGTCACAGAAATTGAATGAATATGTGTCTGATTCTGATATTTTGATTACCGCTACGTCGGTAGATCCCAGAAGACTGGCGATGCATGGGCCTAAATCTGTTTCGGTTTCGTTTTGTGCACCTAAATATCCAACAGCAATATCACCTTCTTTGAAGTAATGTCCGCTCGTCAATGCCACCACGGTCTCCTGCTCATCAACTTGCTCTCGTCTATCTTGCGCACGTGCAACCATTCCAAGCGTCCCATTCCTTCCTGTTGTTCTATTTTTCAGTAGGCCCCCCTGTTTTATTGAAGTTGGCCTGATAAATGATCTGGAGGTAAATTCTACTCTCGGTGATTTGTCTATTGGATCACAGGCCCTTTTCACCTTTTTATCCAGGCGCCGTCGACGTCGTTGCCCCGAAATGTTTTCGTCAACGAATACTATCATACCAGTTGAGAAGAAACCAAAGGCCAAAACTCCATCTGCAGCCAACCTATATTGGTAAATTATAATAATCATCACCAAATAATGTCTAATGCGATAAATGTGTCAGTCACAATGATTTATTTAAAATAGTATAACATCATGCTCTAAAACAGAGAGTTTGATATTACAATAATGCCTTTTGTCTCGTTATTTGTACAGAGTATGGTTGTATAAAATATTTCTTAAACTGAAAACTTTCAAAAGTCGCACGAAATCATGTTTAGTCTCGACAAAAACTTT